TTGAAACCATCAAATCACCAATCTGAGGTCGTTCACATAAAGGTCAAATCATGCCCAACTCTTCCTAGTTAAGGTATTCAAAATAAAACTAAGTGTTCCAAATCATTTACGAACCCCATAAAAACCAAACCACCCATTTCTGCAAGTCACAAAACATCAAACATGCATACGAGAATCATCAAATGGAGGAGCAAGTTTCTAATACTCAAAACAAATGGTCGGATCATTACATTTTTCACCTCTTAAACATACAATCATCCTTGAACGAATTTAGAAATGTACCTGAACTGCTAAAAAGATGTGGATATGTGCTCTACATATCTGACTCGGCCTCCTATGTAGTTTCCTCCTCGGTTGGCCTCTCCAAAGCACTTTCACCAACGCGATCTCCTTAGACCTAAGCTTCTAAACCTATTTATCAAAAAAAGCCAACAGTTCTTCTTCATAAGCTAGATTCTCATCCAACTGCACCATCCTGATGTCCAGGACATGCGACTTATCTCCATGGTACTTCCAGAGCATAGAACCATGAAATACTAGATACTCCTGAAAAACTAGGAGGCAAAGCAGGTCTATAAGAACCTCGTCAACTCTCTCCAACACCTCAAATGAACCAATAAACCTCGGGCTAAATTTTTCTTTTTTCTCAAAACTAATCATGCTCTTCATATGGAAAACTCTAAGAAGAACCTTCTCACCTTCCATAAATGCCACATCGTCAACCTTCTTGTCTGCATAACTCTTCCCGCCTGGACTGAGCTCTGCGAAGCCTCTCAAGAATGAAGTTCACCTTCTACAAAGCATCACATACCAAATTTGTATCCAACCTAGCCTCAGTAGGCTCAAACCAACCAACCAGAGAGCAACATTGCCTACTATATAAGGCCTCACAAAGAGCCATCTGAATACTGGACTGGTAGCTATTGTTGTAAGCAAACACCGCCAACAATAGGAATTGATACCCATGGCCTCCAAAATCAATAATGCATGCCTTTAACACATCCTCAAGGATATGAATTGTCCGCTCGGATTGTCCATCCATCTGCGAGTGAAATGCAGTGCTAAGCTGCACTTGTGTGCCCAACTTACGCTAAACAGCCCTCTAAATGTGCGATGTGGAATAAGTGCCATGGTCTGAAATGATAGAGACAAGCACACCATGTAAGTGAACAATCTCTCTAATGTAGATCTGAGCCAACTTCTCTAAAGTGTGAAAGTCATAACCGGAATGAAATATTTCGTCTTGGTCAACCTATCAACAATGAACCAAATGACGTCAAAGTTTCTTAAACTCTATGGAAAACCTATCCTAAAGACCATAGTAATTGGCTCCCACTTTCACTCCGGTATATCAATCTTCTGAAGAACACCACCCAGTCTTTTATGCTCATACTTGACCTGGTGGAAATTCAAACACCTCGAGACATGCCCTAAAATGTCCATCTTTATTCTCCGTCACCAGTAATGCTGCTTCAAATTATGATACATCTTTGTAGCTCCTAGATGAATAGAATACCGCAAATCGTGCACCTCCTCAACTCTCTCAAACCATAAATGTTAGGAACACAAATCTGACTTTGAAGTCGCATAACACCATTATCCCTAATAACCACCTTCTTAGCACCACCTCACTGTACTCCTTAAGTGCCAACAAGTGTAGATCATCATACTGGCGAGCCTTGATACTCTAAAATAAGGACGACTATGCAACAACACAAGCAAGAACTCATTTAGGCGCAGAAGTATTCAATCTCAAAAATCTTTTGGTGAAGGCCTGAACATCCACAGCCAAAGGCCTCTCCTCAGCTGGAATAAATGCCAAACTCCCTATACTCTTTTCCTTCCTTCTCAAGGCATCCACCACCGTATTTACCTTACCCGGATGATACAAGATAGTGATATTATAGTACTTAAGCACTTTAAGCCACCTCCATTGACTCAAATTCAAATCCTTTTGCTTAAACAAATGCTGAATAATCGAATGATCCGTGTAACCTAGCATGGAACACCATATAAGTAATGCTTCCAAATCTTAAGTGCATGCACAATCGCCGCCAACTACAAATCATAAACGAGATAGTTCTTCTCATGAGGCTTCAATTTTCTGGATGCATAAGCAATCATCCTACCCTCCTACATCAATACAGCTCCAAGAAAAACTCGTGAAGCGTCACAATACACAGTGTATGGGCCGAGATCCATAGGCAACACCGACTCTCAGCCCTAAGAAATTTTCCATATCCAAATACCAAAATAAAATTTTCTAAACATAGAACCAATTTTAACTTCTGCCGAAAATTCTCAAATTAGTAGGAAACATGTCATAACTCAACAAATTTTTCACCCAAAAGACTATGATACTAAAAGCAAAATAATTTTTAGAGCCAGAAGTACTACATATTTTTTTATCTTCCAATACAAATTTTTGTAAGTCATCAATATTATAATTTAAATAAATATTTTTCCTTTTTTCCCTTATGATTAGGCTAATAATTTTTGGTAATACATTCCCGACCCCCACACTTTCAAAATTTCAGGTTAAGGGGGTAATCTTTTCATAACTCATAAGGAATTTTACCAATTCTCATAAGGAATTATATTTTATAAATGAAAGCTAATAATATAGTTTCACCCCGAATATTATCAAATAATTAGCAAGCATGCAATTGATGATTTATTTGAAAAGTCTTATTCCTTTTTTTTAGCTACACCATTAGATTTATAAGAATATGAAGGTCTTATCAAATGATTAATTTTAACCACATCTTGTTAATATATCTATTATATTTTCGGTATGTAATCGAAAGAACCAAAAGAAGCAACATATGTGTTTATGAACATGACTCACACTGTATTTCATGTTCATTCACTTGCAAAAAGCTTTGCAGAATCTACTCTTCATGATTCTTATTACATAAATATATATAAATCATTGTTGAGTTGAATCATCTAATTTATCTTAATCTATAAAATTCTATTTATCAAGAATACTATTGTAAGCATATAATTTTTGTCATGTTTAATATTACTCCCAAAATTACATCAATGTAGCCTCTTTTAGTCATTTTTAATTTTATAAGATTTTTAAGAATTGTTTTCTATTTTGCTCTGCATAATTGCATTTTTGCATTCTAGATTTCATTTTATTTGCATTAATATTTACGAAAAACTAATAACAAAAAATTGTACTTGTCGTCCTTTATTTGTTGCATTTTTGGGTTTTAGTTTGCATATTTAAAATGGCTAATTAAAATAATTTAGAATTGTTGTGGCCAATTGCTTGGTAATTAGGTGGATAGGCTAAAACTACAAAAATAATTTTTATTTGAGGTCAAGTCAAATGTGACTTTATGTGTAATATGAAAGCGGGAGGGGGTTACCATTTGGGTGTGTTAAACCAGTCCGGGCCGCATAAATTCTATGGGCAAATCTATGTCCAATCTCCCAGACCAGGTCAGTCATGACCATGAGAGAGTCACATGACGCGTTGGACTCTGGAACGGCGTTGTTCCTGCTTCTTCTAAAAAAACGACCCCTCTTCATCATTTCCTCAAAACACCTAAATCGGCACCTTTTAATCATCTTAATTCCCTTGTTCTCTCAACCTTCTACCGTATCCTCCATCGACAACCACCGAAAATCGCGTTTGCCACCGTCGGAGGTGGTCCTAAAAGCCTTAAAATCAACACCATAGCTCTATTATCTCGTCCTCTTTCCAAATTTGTCGTCCAAACATGCCAATTTTGAGCCAAACACTGCAATTTAGACCCAAAATAGTAAAGGTAGTACATTTTTAACCTTTTTATCAAATTACCCTCGACCAAGCTGATAGCATCCTAAGAAGCTCAAATCTATTCAAGGGAAAGGATGAAGCTTTGGAATCTCAAAGAGGGCCTTTAACAAGATGTCAAGCTAACGAGTTGCAAAATAAGGTCATTAGACTTCAAGTGCAAATAAAGAAGTTATTAATTGGGAGGAAGAGCTCAAGGATAAATGATATGAATTGACTAGGTATTAGAATTATTTTATGACCCAAATTTATGTCCAAGAAGAGGAGGATTGGATTCCAAGAGACATCCTTTGAAGAAGGTCCTAGTCAGTCCACTTTTGGACCAATTTAGCACCTAAAATGTGTCCAAACTTGCAGTCCATGAAGTCCTACATAAACCCACATTTTTATAACATAAAAAGAACTTATTTGATGTCCAAGAAGGGTACATAGGCGTGCTAGATGTTGAGTGCAAGTTGGTGCCAAGTTGCTTGCAAATTTCCTTCAAGATTTTCAAGATTCTATCCAAGATTGGGTTGGGACTTATTTCGATATATTTTGGGACTATATTTATTGTTTTCCTAGTTAGTTAATATTATGTTTTCGTTTTTCTAAGATTGTTGAAATTACTTTCCAAGAATGACTTGGTTTTTGCTTCCTAATATTTTTCTTTTCCTAAGGTACTTGGACTTGTTGTCCAAAGTAGTTTAAAAATTTATTTTCTTGTTATTTTAGCCTTAATTTCGTGACCCCTCCTACTTATATACGGGGTGTCTTCTTTATTTTTGGACATCGATTATGATAGATTATTATTAATAAAAATTGTAAGATTTTTCTTGCACTCTTATGTGTGGCTACTCTTGAATTTATTCTTTAACCTTCAAGACTTAACTTAAGGTGGTAAGCCCTATTCGAACTCTTAGATCACTTCTAGGTATTCAAGAAAGGTGATAAGTTTAGGCTTATTGTTGTTATTGTTATTCTAAAGGGTCTGGTTTCACAATCTATCTCTTGTTTTTAATTCTCTCTCAAAGACGATTAGTTCTTCGTTAGCTAATTGTTGTTGTTAGGATTCAACTTCAAGCATATATTTATTGAATTCAAGAAACTCTTTCTTAAATTCAATCTCTCTTTAATTTTTGTCTTTTTTTTGTTTCTTTATTTTCTTTTAGTTTCCACACGTTTCTTGATTTTCTTTAGAAGTTCTTGGACCCTATCGTGTTGTTATCACAAGCATGTCTTTCTCCTAACTCTTGCATTAATCGATCCATCTTTCAAAGATCTATCGATTGAGGTCACTCATGTCTACCAATCCCGGCCACTCAGTTGACCACCGTTGACAAGTTGGAATCCATGAAGCCTTCTCCTCTTTGTCTTTTTGGCTTATAGTAGTCATTCGTCCACTCTTCCACAGATTAATGGTTAAGATTGAATCAGTGGGAGAGTGACAGATAATCACTGCCGGCCATAATTTGATCTTTTCTGGTCACTGCGTCTTCACCAGGTAATATACTACCTCCTCTCTTCTAATTTTTCTTTTCTTTCATATTTTCACCTAACTAAATTACATGCTTAGTTTCAAATAATTCTCCTTTAGATAATATCATAATTTGCTACCGAGTGTCTATGAATTTGGTTTAATTCTTCTTAATAGTATGTTAGCTTGGGTAATTTACATAAAAGTTTGGTCAAATGACTGTTAATTTAAGTTTAAGTATGAACAAAATTATATATACTAGCAGTCAGTGTCATTCAATGTGTTTCGGTCGTTATAATCTAGTCTAATTAATTGCATGTTAGGTTGTTTCAATCGTTATTTGGAGTTGGACGTTAGTTTCATGTTTGTTTTGATTTTGTTTGGTATTTATTTCGCCAATTGGTTCTGTCATTGTGGTAGAGGATCCTGGTATTGACCCATTACATATTGAGAAATTTTCATAAACCATTATTGTTTAGTGTCTATTAACTTCCTATAGCTACCATATACATAATTATTTTCTATAGCTACTATTCAGTTGCTACGGTAGTGTATTCACATGTATTCGCGCTGTTATATTCATGAATACAACAACAAAAAGCGCCTAAAATCAGGGCAGTCCAGCTGTACGCACATGTATCCACATGTATTCACACTGCTGTATTCATGAATACAGCAGTAAAAAGCACCTAAAATCAGGGCAGTCCAGCTGTACGCACATGTATCCACATGTATTCACACTGCTGTATTCATGAATACAGCAGTAAAAAGCACCTAAAATCAGGGCAGTCCAGCTGTACGCGCATGTATTCACATGTATTCGCGCCATGTATTCATGAATACAACAGCAAAAAGCGCCTAAAATCAGGGCAGTCCAGCTGTACGGGTATGTATTCACATGTATTCGCGATGAATACAACTGTACGCGCATATATTCTCGTCATGTATTCATGAATACAGTAACGACAATCCCTTAAAAATAGGTGTGTCTAACTGTCTAAGAGAGAGGAAAAATATAAATAGCATATTTCATAATTCAATTGTAATATATACCATAAAATACTTATTTTGATATAAAATATAAAAGGTAATTATAAAAAATAATATTTTAAAATAATTTTATTTTATAATAAATAGAGCGTATACTTTTGCTATAGGCTTAAAATATTTGATAAGGTCTAGGACAACTGATTCACTTCAGCAAGGTCCAGACCCATTGTTTTTGGAATCAGATATGTTAAATTAGAATGGGGGGCAGGGGGGAGTAACCGAAGATGGTAAAAGAGGAAAGGTTCCAGAGAATGTAAAATGAGATGAAAATAGATAAGTTAGAAGGATAAAGCGGCATTTGAGGGAACTCAACAAAGAGAATCTTGAGGAAGTTTCTAGGAAGCTAAGACTGGGATAATTTCATTGGTTGAAAATAGAGGAACCAACAGGGAGTAGGATAGAATAAGTAGGAAACCTACTATTATACACCCTAAGTTTTAGTTAAAAAAGAATCACTCATTTTCTTATTTGAAAATAATTTATCTTGTAATAATTTATAATCACACAAAATATATGTGTCTCATTTTATACCACAAATTCAAAAGTTTTCTCTCTTTTCTTAAATTTCGTACCCAGTCAAATGAGTTCACGTGTGCCTCATTTTATACCACAAATTTAAAATTCTTTTCTCTTTTCTTAAATTTCGTGGCCAGTCAAATGAGTTCACGTCAATTGAAAGGGTATGATTATTATAAATAGCCCTTTTATCTTTCACTCTAGGTTCATATTGAGCAGCCTCCTATCAAGTGTTCAATCAATAAGAAATTCAGAGAGTCCGTTAGCTCAAAATATCACCTTAGACTGTTGGGTGAAGTTTGCTTAAAAGAGGACTTTTCTTTTTGGGTTTTTCAAGCACTTAAACCACTGATTTTCTAGGTATTCAAGAGTTTAATCTGAGGTTTATATAGCCGATTTCTTGTTGATGAGATCCATCCTTTAATTTTCATCTACTATTGTCTCTTCTGTTGTAAAGGGTACTATTTCGACGTTGCAATTCTGCCTTTAGATATGAATGTAATTTCTACCATGATTAATGTATTGTTATTCGAGCTTGAAGTATGCTTTTCTTACGATTGATCATGCTGCACTTAACTTGATATTATGATCTTCAGTGAAGTGATTCATGCTTCTTAGTTGCTCTTGTTGTAATAACTAGAATTTTGTTGTGCTAAAGGTTCTTTTTGTCACTGTTAATGCTAAATAATTGGCTGAAGTTACTAGTTAGTAGATCTGACCTTACATTAGCTGGATCTGTTTGGTTTATGCTGGAAATTGCATTTTCTACTGAGTAGTTCTAAGATTGTTCAATGTTTAAATTCCTCATTTCTACTTGAAAAGCCAGTAGGTATCAGATTCATGTTGATGTGGGAATTTGACAAAACGAGCGATGAATCCCTTGATGAGAATGTAAAAGTGGTGAGTTGTGTTAAAAACATATCTAGTAGATCTAATATTTAGCATGAAGGCCGTTTTCTAGAAAATTTATAATTAAATCCAGACTCGTGGCTACAAAGTGATAGATAAATATTTAAGTCATATTAGTTTATGCTAAACATGTAAATTGATATTGAAAGATAGTTAACAAGGACCAACTCTATATTTCGCTTTCACTAGTTAATGCTCAAAGACTCGACAGTTGTGAGCACGATTGGGCTTGGCAAGACCTGCTCTGCCAGGCCCACACCCATTACCATCACTATCGTACTACGAAGAGTAGGCTTTACTTAAGCCCAACTCATAAGCCTTTAATTGGTATATGTAATAAATGCGACCACATGTTCCTCCTATTTTATCACTTCATTTTCGTTTAAAATATGACAATAAGGAACTAACATTAGTATCATCACAGGGACAATGTAAAGACTCGACCGGTCGTTTTGTGTATTTGAGCCCCGTTTTTCCCTATTTGATTCTTTACTTATGTTTAATTGTGATAATGTGACTTACGGGGTGATTAGTTTTAGTTTCAGGGAAGTTTTGGATTGAATTGGGATACTTAATCTCTTGGTTGAAAGCTTAAGTTGTATGAGTTGACTGGAGTTTGACTTTTGTACTTCGGAATGGTATTTTGATGGTGCCAATAGCTTCTTATGGTGTTTTTAGACTTAGGAGTATGTCCGAATTTGGATTTGGAGGATCCTAGGTCATTTTGGCTTGAATTGACGAAAGCTGAAAGGTTGAAGATTTAAAAGGTTAATAGGTTTGAGGGAGAATTGACGTTGTTGATATCGGGTTCGAATTTTGGTTCAGAGAGTTAAAATATGTCCGTTGTTTCATTTGGAACTTACATGCAGAATTTGAGGTTAATTTGAATCGATTGATGAGTTTCGCTTGAGTTTTGAAAATTGAAAGTTCATTAGGGTTGAATTGAGGTGCGATTCATTTTTCAATATTTTTGTGTGATTTGACGTTATGAGTAGGTTCGTGTTATATTTTGAAATTGGTTGTTGTGATTGGATCGGATCCCGAGGCCATGGGTGTGTTTCGGATTTTTTTCGGATCATTTTTTGGACTTAGAGGCATTGCTGAAGGTTTAAGATTACTAGTGCTTTCGCACCTGCGAATGGATGGCCGTTGGTGCGGGTCAACTAATGCGGACATGGAGCCGCAAAAGCGAAGCTAGGAAGGTTGGGCTGAGTCCGTAGGTGCAGACATATGACCGCAGATGTGGTGTTGGTTGAGCTCAGGGGTTTTTCTGTATAAGCGGAAGGGCTTGCACATAAGCGAGACGATACCTACAATGTGAGACCATAGAAGCGGGTCCGTAGGTGTGAGGGTGAGGCTGTGGAAGGTCGGGTGTTGAGAGGGGATCACAATATGTTCCTCTTACCACAGAAGCGGCACCGCAGAAGCGGTTAAGTGACCACAGATGCAGAGTCACTAGCAAATTTTTATATTCGAAGGTATTGGTCATTTTTCATTTAAAATAACCCAACCGATCATTTTGAGATTTTAACGTTCTATTCGATGATTTGAGACATTGAGTATCTTCATATGATATATTATTACATGATTTTATAGTCGGTTTTGATTTTCAAGTTGTTCGGGATTGATTTAGAAGAATAACTCTTTATTTGGAAGCTTTAAGTTGGAAGAGTTGGCCAAGGCTTGACTTTTGGGTAAACGGACTCGGAATCGGGTATTGATTATTTCGATAAGTTCATATGATTTGGACTTGTGCGTATGTTCAGATTGGGTTTCAGAGGTTCCTAGAAGAATTCGACAGTATTTGATGAAAGTTTGGAATTTGAATAACTTAAGAGTTTATAAGTTTGACTAAGAGTTAACTTTTTTGTTATTGGACTCCAATTCGTATTTCGTGACTTTGGATATGTCTATATAGTTAAATTGAACTTATGTGTAGAGTTTGGAAGTAATATGAAGTGTATAAGTATGATTTAGACACTCTTTTGAAAGAAAGAAGATTTAATAACTTAAGAGAATTTCTATTCGGCTGGAGCCTCGATTCTTTGTTGTAATGTTCTCGTGGGTGTTTTGAAGATTTGGATAAGTTTGAATATTATATTTATAGTTGTTGGTATGATTGAATGAGGTCCCGAGATGCTTCGATGTATTTTAGATCATTGATTGAGAAACTAGTTAAGTTAAGGATTTGGAGTTTGACCATGGTTAAGATGACCTCTTTTCGGTGTTTTGAGTGCGCGAGTAGGTTCTTAGCATGTTTTATGATTGAAATGCAGATATGATTTTTTTCCAGGAGGATCCGAAAGGGTTTTGGGTGCTAAAACGAAGATTTTCTTATTGCTCATTTTTTACTGGTGTAAATAATTACAAAAATACCATTTATGTCCCTGAAATTTTAAACTTCCTTTAAAACTTCAAAACATTATATCTCCCTCATTTTAAGGCCAAATTGGGCGATTCAAAAGGCTATATTAGGTGTAATCTTGAAAGGATCATGTTGGGATTATGAAACGTGAGCTTCAGGATCATCTAGGATCTTATTCGGGATGGGACAACTACTGCGTTTTTACTTCTTTTGAAATTTAGTTACTTTTTCTCACAAGGTTTTGCAGCTCGATTTTTGGTGATATTTGAGGGGATTTTCAATACTTGGATTAGGGTAAGTAGTTTTGACTCAAATTTATTTATATTTCATGATTCCAACCTTGAATTTTGCGATTGATTGCTGAATTATATTGAAGAAATTGGAGATTTTAGTAAAAACCTTTGTAAAATATAAATTAATGATTTGAAGGTCGATTCGAGGTCGGAATTGAATAAAATTAGTATGATTGGACTCGTACCGTATTGGGTATTTGGAATTTGTAAGTTTTGTCAGGCTCCAGGATGCAAGCCCGGGTTTGACGTTTTGCGTTGAATTTTTTATTTTAGTTAAAAATTAAAATTTTATTATTCGGAATCATTTCATATAGCTTTTATTCATGATATTAAGTTATTTTGGCTAGATTCAAGCTGTCTGGAGGTTGTTTCACATGGAAAGGGCTTCTTAGAGTATTGATTTAGCTTCTTAAGATAAATATCTTGCCTAACTTTGTGTGAGGGAAATACCCCTTAGGTGATAGTCCTAATTGTTGATTTCTATGATGTGGTAAGTGTAGTGTGTATGATATGATGAGCATGTATATGGGTACTATGTGTGGTTTTGACCGGAATAGACCGTAGGCTATTGATATGCTTTAATGTCATAATGAACTTTATATGAAACTTGTGAGATCACTTTATGACTATTTGATCATGATTATTTCATTGAATTAGCCATAGTCATGATTTATTTATTGAACATCCCCCTGCTTCTATGATTATTTGTTATGTCCTCGTGCACAGTTATTGAAAGTTGTAAACTTATACTTTGATGAAACTTGGGTACCATTGTTGTGATATTGTGACACTTGGCATTATTGTTTTTGTGGTACCGTGACACTTGTGGACATGCTTAGTGGATTGACTGGGGGTGTCGGCACGAGGTTTTAGCCGTGCCATTTTTTCTATTATTGTACGCGAGGAGCAAAATAAGGGTGGCGTCATCTCGGGTTGCCCACGTGGCAAAATAAGGATGGCTATATGCGCATGTGTCTAAATAAGGGTGGCATATCATTTTTGTGTGCACATGCGACATAATAAGGGTGGCCTTTTGATGATATTATGTGATATTTCTGGGTGTCTTCTTGTTGTTATGATTGTGTTGAGACGGGGTTGATATTTCATTCTCATAATTGTTTTTTAAATCTTACTTTTTGCACTTACCTGAGTTAATGGATGTATTTGACATTTCATCACATGCCTTACCTCTATTTGATGTTTTTGGGATCAAAGATGGGCTTATTATTCTGAGTTGTTATCACATACTCTAAAGGGGTTGTTGTTACTGTTTTACATTATATTCTTATTTTGAACTTTTTATATATTCATTACACATGTTATTTGTATAGTTAGTATCAAATGACTTGAACCTCGTCACTACTCCACCGAGGTTAGTCTTGATACTTGCTAGGTACCAATTTTGGTGTACTCATACTACGCTTCTGCAAAATATTTTTTGCAGATCCAGGTGTTGGAGGTAGAGGACCCAAGCTGTGGAAGCTTCTTTGATCGCAAGGATTTAAGGTAGATCTTCTTATTTTGTCGTAGTTTCTTGGAGTCCTTTCCCTACATTTACACTGTCAATTCTCTATCCGAACAATATTATATTTTTGAGATATTTTCATGTATTCAATTAGAGATCGAGACTCTGTACTACCTCATCTTAGGGATTTGTTGTGATTATCACCATATTGGCTTGTATCACCTTTATTTCCGTATTTATATTAAACTCTGCTTCATAATATCATGTCTTATTAGTTTAACTGTCATAAGTGATCAACTTACCTAGTTTTAGAGACTAGGTGACATCACGATACTTAAAGTTGGATTTTGTGTCGTGACAAGTTGGTATCGAAGCTCTGGGTTCATAGGTTCTACGAGTTATGAGCAAGTGTCTTGTAGAGTCTTGTGGATCAGTATGATAATGCCCATACCTATCATCGAGAGGCTTTAAGGCATGTAGGAAACTTCCCATCTGTCCTTCTTTATCGTGTGACATTAATTCAGTTTGAAGCGTGTCTTGTTGAATTCCTTCCATTCACTCGTACGTTATGTTGAGCATTCGGTATCGACTGTACATCGATGGCTTGTGATGTCATGGATGAGGTGCGAGATGTGTTCTTCGTGTTGTGAAGATAGGCCAGTCTGGAGGACTTGAGGCCAGGTTTAGATCGTAGTTTGGACTCAGTAGTTTCAGTTGTGTGAGTATGTGCTTTCAGACTCATATGTTCGGTAGTGCCCTAAGAGTGGGATTAATGGCCCGGTGAGTGGTTGGATAGCTATATGATGAGTATGATGTGACTGTGAAGTGTGTTTAGATGGTCTAGATGTGACGAGGAAAGTTTTTGCTTGGGATGCCAAAGGATTATGAATTATTGATTTCTGTCTTGATGTGTTGCACAATCTCGAGTTTTGAGCGTGTTGAGGGAATCTTTCACGTTGTTCATTTATGGAATGAAATAGGTTCTTATGTCTTGTTGACGAGTTTAGACTCGGGAAGATTAAGTGATTGCATTGTGGTTGTGACCATGATAGGGCATATAGAGATGCTAGTTTGAGGCTAAGCGGGTGGGTTATCTTATACAGGATGTTCTGAGGTTGTGTGATCCCTATGAGGTTTCTGTGAAGAGTTTTTTCTTTTTACAAGTGGGATGCGTATGGGCTGCAATTTGAGTTTGGATCTCTTGAGGAAGGTTGCACGACTGTCACGAGGATGGATATGCGGTTAGCATGTGATTTGAGGTGTTTTACGATTAGAGCCACATGAGAATATGAAGGATTTAGTTTATCTATAGTATGGGATTATAGTAGTGATGGAATAAGGGTATTGTGGGTTGTCGGGTATAATGTTTTATGGCTTAGTGCCAAGTGGGGGGAGTCTACTATCGACAATCAGATTACATAGTCATGCGTTATATTAGTTTTGGTCTGAGAAATAATTGTGGATCGGTTATGACTTGAAGAGGTTGGTTTCAAGGATGACTCGAGTAAGAAAATTTCTGGATGCATGATGTATTACACTTTATAGGTATATGGAAATCTTGGAATATTCGAATTGTCATTCGTGGTAGATGTAGTGTGCATGGAGTAGGGATTCACTCGGTTTCTTAAAGATGGGGGTTACTTCTTGCGGTGTTTGTGTGCTAATGGAGTACCAGTCGTTCGGCTCGTATTGGCAGTGCATTGGGGGATTTGAGCAGAGTGGATGACTCTCGAGAAGGTTCTAATGAGTTCAAGGTTCGTATGTGGTATTTGTGGATTTCTCGGATTTGTATATGGCTAAGATCTGAGATTTGAATTGGATGGTGCTAAGACACGCAGTATTCATGTATCATTAGTGATTCTACATTTTGGTATTAGAGAGGTTAAAGAAACAACTTCAGAGTCACAAAATATCTCTTAAGAGTAGGTATCTCGGTTGTGGCATCATTGGGTGCTTCAGAGGGAACAAAGTGGTTTATGGGCTTTCGGATGATGTGGTTCAAGCTAGGATCTCTTGTGGTGAGCTTTTGTAGTGTATTGGCAAGGAGAAATGTTAACTCGAAGGTCAATTGAGGAGAATTCTAATAAATAGGTTAGCTTGGTGGTGGTTTGGGTCAGCATAGTAATAAAGGTGATTGATTCCTTTAGTGTGGTGAGGTTGTACCGGCGTTTTATGGCAATACTATTGTGTTTGGCATCCTGCATGGCTTGGTTGAGTTTGGGGAATTCAATTCTGATATCTTGATTATGTGCGGACGGGTTTCGAAGAGTTCTTGATAGTGCCGACCACAGCTTGGGACATATGTCTTCTACCGGCATGAGAAGTATGTTGCATGTTGTGGTTTCTCATCTGGATGAGGTCAAGTAGAAGGTATGTTAAGAGGTTGACGGCTGATTGTATGTGCTATGAATAGGTTATTGTGGTCTCTTCGGAGGTTGTCTACCCATTTCAAGAGAATCAAAATTGATCTGGAGGCTACTGGTAGGTCTACTGAGAATGTGTATTCTGTATCGGATCAGGTTTGTTTACTAAGCACACTTATTGTTGGGGGTGTTTCAACGACTGGAGTTGACCTTATTCATGTCCAAATATGTTCTATGTGCGACACTCTCATGCTATGATGGGTTGCGAGACTACTTGACTATTCACACACATGATGTCGTTCTGTTTGGGCATTGCAGTGAGACTCGAGCGAGATGGATCCTGGGGTGTTAAATTGTTTATTGCGTCTTAGTCGTGTTTTCCTATCGTTCGTATATTGTGCTATATGTTTATCTATGGTTATGGTCATGCACTTTACGCGTTTACTGTTGATACACATGTGGTTGTTTATTGTGAGCGTTATGGCTAGATGGGGTTTCCATGTGGATCAGTATGTTTGGATCGGGCTATGTGCTGCAACAGAGTTATGATAGGACATGATTCTTCATGCTTACTTCGTGTGCCTTGCTTCTTCCTTGTGAGATGAGTTTATAACATTGTTCTTTGTAGTGGTAGTTGTTGGACTTGTCGGGTGGTTCTCTCATTTGGTTCTCTTTCCATCTTTAGCTATATTCGCGTTATTGCTTGTTAGGTACAAATAATATCGTATGTGACTAGGTGGCATTTGGTGTGGCTCGTCAGTCGAATAGCTTATATTGAGTGAGTGATTATGAGTTTCTACATGTTTCTTACATCATTAGCAGTGTTGTGAAGGTTTGGAATAAGGTTATATTTAATATGAGGTATGTTACTAGTACCGGGTTTGGTAATGGGCAGCTATTATGGTCAGAGATATTGTTACAGACATATAAGCGATGGGTTACGTCGTGTGGTTATATCTCAGGAACATATTTATGATTTGCTATAGCTTGTTGAGATTGATATAATATGTATATGCGAGAATCAAATCGTATTAGGAATTTCGAATGTTGGAATTTAGGTCTATAGTTGATATATTAAGGTCGAAGAAAGAATCTTCAGTTAGGTTGTGTTGACTGGCTTATATAGTTTGAGGTGATGTGGGATCACTCATGGGTATGTGTATGGCAAGGTTATACAGTAATTTGATGGCTTTGGAATGACTCTTGGCACGTTCGAGGACAAATGTATGTTTAAGTGGGGGAGAATGTAACGACTCGACCGGTCGTTTTGAGCTTTAGCATTTCATTCGGTCATTTGAGATTTTGAGTAGTTTTATGTGATGTATTATTACATGAGTGTATAGTCAGTTTTGGTTTTCGAGATTGATTTGGAAGCTTTAAGTTGGAAGAGTTGACCAAGGTTTGACTTTTCTTGGAAGCGGGTTTTGATTGTTCCGATAGGTTCGTATGATGATTTTGGACTTGTACGCATGTTCGATTTGGTGTTTCGGAGGTTCCTAGAAGAATTCGACACTATTTATCGAAGTTGGCAATTTAAAAAACTTAAGAGTACATAAGTTTGACCAAGAGTTGACTTTGATGTTATTGGACTCCAATTGGTGTTTTGAGACTTTGGATAGGTCTATATAGTTGAATTGAACTTGTGTGAAAAAATTGGAAGTAATCCTAAGTGTTTAATTGTGATTCAAATACTCTTTTGAAAGAATGAAGATTTAACAACTTAAGAGAAATTCTATTCGGTTTGAGCCTCGATTCTTTGTTGTGATGTTCCTGTGGGTGTTTCGAGGCTTTGGATATGATTGAATAATTTATTTGTACTTGTTGGTATGATTGGATGGGGTCCCTAGGGGCTCGGGTGTGTTTTAGATCATTGGTTGAGAAACTAGTTAAATTAAGGATTTGGAGTTTGACCACGGTCAATATCGGGTCAAGATGACCTCTTTTCGGTGCTTTAGTGCACGAGCATGTTTGTAGCGTATTGTATGATTGAAATGCATATATAGTTTATGTATGGGAGGTTCCGAATGAGTTTTGGGTGCTAAAACAAAGATTTTCTTATAGTTTATTTTTTTTTTCTGGTGTAAATAATTACGAAAATATCATTTATGTCCTTGAAATTTTCAAACTTCCATCAAAACTTCAAAACATCATATATCCCTCATTTTTACTTATTCAGAATTTAGTAACTTTTTCTCACAAGGTTTTGGAACTCGGGTTTGGGCGATTTTGGAGGAAATTTTCACTACTTGGATTAGGTTAAGTATTTTTGACTCGGATCTTCTTATATTTCATGATTCCAACCTTGAATTTAGTGATTGATTGATGAATTGAATTGAAAAAATTGGGAATTTTAGTAAAAACTTTTCTAAATCATAAATTGATGATTTGAAGGCTGATTTGAGGCCGGAATTGGATGAAATTAATATGGTTTGACTCGTATCGGAATGGATTTTCAAAATTTATGAAGTTTATCGGGTTCCGGGGTGCGGCCCCAAGGTTGACCTTTTGAGTTGACTTTTTGATTTTAGTTAAAAATCGAAGTTTATTATTCAGAATCGTTTCCTATGGCTTTAATTATTAATTTAGTTTGGCTAGTTTTGAGCTGTCTAGAGATTTGTTTCACGCGAGAATGGCTTCTTAGAGTATTGTTTTATCTTCTTTGAGGTAAGTATCTTTCCTAACCTTGTGTCAGAGAAATACCCCTTAGGGGCTAGTCCTAATTGTTTATTTCTATGATGTGGTAAGTGACGTGTATATTATATGACGATCATGTATACGGGTGCTATATGTGGTTTTGACCAGAATAGAGGGTAGGCTATTAATATACCTTAATGTGATAATGAATTTTATATGAAACTTGTGAGATCACTTTATGACTATTTGATCATGATCATTTTATTGACATATCCATAGTCATGCTTTATTTATTGAACTCCCCTCCGCTTCTATGATTATTTGTTATGTCCTCGTGCACGGTTGTTGAAAGTTGTAAACTTATACTTTGATGAAACTTTGGTACCATTGTTGTGATATTGTGGCACTTGGCATTATTATTTTTGTGGTACTGTGGCACTTGTGGACATGTTGAGTGGATTGATTGGGGGTGTCAGCACGTGGTTTATGGCCATGTGATTTTGTCTTTTGTTGTACGCGTGCGGAAATATATGGGTGGCATTATCCCGGGCTATTGATTTGGTGAAATAAAGGTGGCGATATGCGCATGTGGCGAAATAAGGGTGGTATATCATTTTTATGTGCACATGTGGCGTAATAATGGTGGAATTTTGATGATGTAATTTGATATTTCAGGGTGTCTTTTTGTTGTTGTGATTGTGTCGAGACCGAGTTGATATTTCATTCTCATAATTGTTTTTGAAAGCTTACATTTTTCACTTACTGTATTTGACATTTCATCACATGCCTTACCTCTGTTTGATATTTTTTGGATCAAAGATGGGCTTATTATTCTGAGTTGTTATCGCATGCTCTAAAGTGGTTATTGTTACCATTTTCCATTAGATTCTTGTTATCAGTTTTCTTTGATATATTCATTGCACATGGTATTTGTCTAGTGGGAATCAAACGACTTGAACCTCGTCACTACTCCACCGAGGTTAGTCTTGATACTTACTGATACCGATTGTGGTGTACTCATACTACGCTTTTGCACATTTTTTGTATAGATCCAGGTGTTAGAGGTAGCAGACCCAGACTGTGAGAGCTTTTTTGATTGCAAGGATTGAAGGTAGTGCTGCTTAGTTCATCGCAGCCCCTTAGAGTCCTTTCCCTATATTTATACTCTCAATTATCTATCCGAACAATATTGTATTTTTGAGACATTTTCATGTATTCAGTTAGAGCTCGTGACTCTGTACTACCTAGTCTTAGGGATTTATTATGATTATTGTCGTGTTGGTTTATAACACCTTTATTTTCGCATTTATATTAAAATATGCTTCATAATATTATGTCTTATTGGTTTAACTATCGTAAGTGATCGTCTTACCTAGTTTTAAAGAGTAGGTGCCATCACGATCCTTAAGGTCGGATTTTGGGTCGTGACATCATTATTTGGAGTTGTGGATAATAATTGGAGGTGATTTTTGAAGGGCTTTTCATCACAATTAAAGGGTTAAGTGATCCTTGATTTTGATGCTAGATATTGATTACCCATGGATTATTATATCTAATTTATGTGCAATAAAGGTGAAATTTGGGGGGGTTTGACCATGGTTTTGGAGAGTGAAAATTGATGATTTGAGGGTCGATTTGAGGTTAGATTTGGGTGAAATACACATATTTGGACTAGTATCGGAATGGGTATTCGAGATTTAAGATTTTGGTCGAGTTTTGGGGTATGGGCCCGAAGTCGACTTTTTGAGTTGACTTTTTGATTTTTGTCCAAGATCGAAGCTTCATCGTTTGGGGTTGTTTTATATAGCTTCTACTGATATTATTAAGTTATATTGTCTAGATTAGAGTCATCCGAAGGTTGATTCACACCTGAAAGGCTTTCTAGAGTACTGATTTGGCTTATTTGAGGTAAGTATCTTGCCTAACATTATGCGGGAAATGCCCTTTAGCTGCTAGACCTAATTTGTTGATTTTCATGATGTGAAAGTGACATGTACATGAGGTGATGAGAGTGTATACGTGTACTAAGTGTGGTTTTAACGGTTATAGACCACATGCTATTTATATGCCTTAATATGATAATAACCTTGTTATGAAACATGTTGAGACCACTTTATGACTACTTAATCTTGATCATTACATTGACTTAGCCTTAGTCATGCTTTGTTTCTTGAACACCCCTCCGCTTTTATAATTATTGTTATGTCCTTGTGCACTGTTTTTGACAGTTGTGGACTTATATTGTAATGACCCGACCAGTCGTTTTGAGCTTTAACATTTCATTCGATGGTTTGAGGTCTTGAGTAGCTTCATATTATGTATTATGACATGTGTTCATGGTCAGTTTCGGTTTTTAGGATTGATTTGGAAGAATGATTCTCATTTTAAAAACTTTAAGTTGGAATAGTTGATCAAGTTTGACTTTTTATGTATTTGATCACAGATCAGAGTTTTGATGGCTTCGTTAGGTCCGGATGGTTCATTTGAACTTAAGTGTATGCCTAGAATTGGATTCAGAGGTTCCTACATTGATTTGGTACTTTTTGGTGAAAGTTAACAATTAGAAGGTTTAGAATTTTCTCAAGTTTGATCATGGTTCGAATTTATGGCTATCGGGTTCAGATTTTGATTTCATGACTTGGAATAGGTCCGTTTTTTTATTTGTTACTTGTCTGAAAAATTTTGTGTCATACCAAGTTGGTTTGATAAGAATCGGACGCATGGTTATGTTTCTAGCAATTCTTGAAGTTTATTATAATTTTCATATGTTTTGGTGTCCGATTCGTGGTTCTGAATGTTATCTTGGTGTTTTGATCATACGAGCGAGTTCATTTGATTTTTATGCACTTACATGGATGTTTGGTGAGGAGCCCCAGGGGCTCGGCTGAGTTTCGAACACGTTCCAGAGAATTTTGTGCAAGGCTCAATTTTTGCTGGTGTGCTATCCTCGCATTTGCGAGTAAGTGGTCGCATTTGAGACAACCGTATTTGTGAGATCCTTATCACCTTTGCAAAGTGGAATGGGGGTTGGGGAGTTCGCATTTGCGATGAGCACCTGTGCAGGGGGGTTACTGAATTTGCGACATTTCTGTCGCTTTTGCGAAGGTGCCTGTGTTCGCGTTTGTGAACAATATGTCGCTTTTGCAACGTTTTCATAATTTCTCAGTGGTCGCATTTGTGATCCCTTTTTCGCAATTACGAGGGTCGCAAATGCGACATCTGCAACTGGTTATATGTGGTGTATTTTCGGATTTAGTCTTATTTGATCACTTTTCTAGCTCTAGACTTGGTGGGAGGCTATTTTTAGGAGAGAATTTCATACACAATCATCGGGTAAGTAATTTTAATTCAATTTTGATTATATATCCTGATTATTTATGATATTTAACAGATTTGAGAGTCGAATTGGACTGGGATTTGAAACCAAACACATATTTAGACTCGTAGGGCTATGAGTAGTCCAGATCCACCCTTCGACTTGGGTTTTGACCAGACGGGCCCCGGGTTAACTTTTGGAGAAATTGTGTAAAACTCTTAACTTTATTAATTGAAATTGGTTTCTCTTGTACTATTTGTTGTTATTAACTTGATTTTGGTTAGATTTGAGCCGAGCAGGGGTGAATTTTAGAGGAAAAGCATTTTTTAAGTATTCATTGAGGGCTTTTAAAGTAAGTATCTTACCTAACCTTGTGTCTGGGAAACTTTCCTATAGGATTTGGCCTAATTGTATTATTTGTACTATGTAATTGACGTGTACATAAGGTGACGAGTGTGTACACGGGCGTATATGTGCTGGTTATGATCAAAATCGACTCGAGATTGCTCTTATTGTCGTGTTTCGACTGTGAGATCTCTTCACTACATGTTTCCTATTGTGGATGATTACTTGCATTCATATTCCATGTTAGAGATCATGTTTTAGGATTTTATTTCCCTAATTGGCCAAGTTGGGTGTTTGAGAAATTGCTGCTATATTGGTTAGCAAATTTCATGTAATATGATGAACACCCATCCGCTTTTCCTTATTTATTGTCCTTGCACTGTGATGGTAGACTTCTATGTTGATGTCTTGAGGACAATTATTGATATGTTGTGATTTTGGCACATGTGGACTTGTTGAGCGGATTGTCGGGGTGTTTGCACGAGATTTTTGTGGTGCTATTATTATTATTGATATTGCACATGCAGCGAGACAAAGTGGGCTATATATATATCGGGTTTGTGCATGTGGAGAGACAAGGTAGGATAAATGGTGATGCGCATGTGGCGAGACAAGACATGCATTTACTTTATTATTGCGCATGCAGCGAGACAAGGGGCTATGTGGGGATGATATGTGATGGCCTAGGGACATAATATTGATGATAATCGTGTGGTGGTAGGGCATCCTTGTGTGTGTAATGCATATTATGTGATTTGTTGTGTTGTTTCCAATGTGCTACTTGGTGTCTCTGATAATACTTGTTGATTTGAGCTGTGATAGTACACTTTGATATGCATAAACAATAACATGTTATCTATATAAGTTCAGGAGTATGAAACTTGATGTTCATTGATCATGTACATATATTCTTTTATATCTTCTTTCTCTACGATAAGTTGGACTGGTAGTCTATGAGCACGCTGGGCGAATTTTCATATTGAGAGTGTGACCATGCCAACGCGGATTGTGATATTGGCACATAAGTTGTCCGTGCAGCACATATGTTGTTCGTGTGGTTATGATTGATAATGTGGGAACGAGGTGCCATGTGCATATGATTCGTGATTTGGGCCTCGTGATTTTTGTGATTATGAGGTGTGATAGCTCGGGGTGATTAGAACTGGCCATGTTTTCCCTTGTATTTTATATGTGCTTTGCCATTTATTTACTTTTCTTATCTGTTGTTAGCTTTATATTGATGTTCTGCACAGGTTATTTGATTAGTGGGTGTCTTGACATGAACCTCGTCACTACTCCATAGAGGTTAGTCTTGATACTTACTGGCTACCATTTTGGTGTAGTCATACTACGCTTCTGTACATTTTTGTGCAGATCCAGGTACCTCAGAGCAAGCTGGGCATTAGCGAGTTGTTTATCAAAGTTGTTATGGAGACTTAAAGGTATACCTGCATGTCCACTCGCATGCCTCGAAGTCACCTTCCATTGTTCTTTGCTACCGTCTACCTTATTTCCAGATAGTGTTGTATTTAGAGATTTTTTGTGTACTCTCAGTAGAGCTTATGACTCCGTACTACCGATTTTAGAAATGTATAACTATTGTTCATTTTCACTTATGTTAGTATTTATATTTAATAGTTAAATGGTTTAAACCTGTTAATAGCTCAGCATGTGTTAGGCTTACCTAGTCCTAGAGACTAGGTGCCATCACAATCCTTAAGGTGGGATTTTGGGTCGTGACAAGTTGGTATACACATGTGTTGCGAGTTATAAGCAAGTGTAGTAGAGTCTTGAGGATCGGTACAGAGACTTCTGTAGTTATTTTCGAGAGGCTACAAAACTCTTAGGAAAATTTCACTTTTATCGTTCCTATCGTGCAGATTTATTTCTTTTGGAGTTTGACCCTTTGTCCTTCTATTCTCTCACAAATGGTGAGGACACGAGCTGCAGTTACTGACGATGTTGCCCCCAGGGCCAGTATTTCTAGAGACCGAGGTAGAGGTTGAGGTAGAGGCCGAGGAGGAGCACGTGCTACAGCTAGGGCACCTGCCCAAGCAGTAGCTGAGGAGCCACATATAGCTCCGGTCGGGGAGTAGGCACATGAGTTGTATGTTTCTACCCTTGGAATTTAGGAGACTTTGGGGCGTGAGTTGTCCGTGCGGTTGTGATTGATAATGTGGGCACAAGGTGCCATGTGTATATGATTCATGATTTGGGGATTGTGATTTGTGATTATGAGGTGTGGTACTTCAGGGTGATTTTTGTTGTAAATCGTGTGTCTGAACGGTTTGATGATTAGAACTTTCATTGTTTTCCCTTAATTGTTTTCACTTGTATTTTATTTGTGCTTTGATTATTTTGCCGTTTTATCACATGATTACCCGTCATTGCCATTTATTTACTTTGCTTATCCGTTGTTAGCTTTATATTGATGTTCTTCACATGTTATTTGATTAGTGGGTATCTTGACTTGAACCTCGTCACTACTCCACAGAGGTTAGTCTTGATACTTACTGGATACCATTTTGGTGTA